TCTCGCCGAAGGGGCGGGGATGTCGGTGGAACACCGGCGGCGCGGACGAAGGAGGAAGGAAGGATTCCTCCCGCTCCCAGACCGCGGCCGCGCCTCGGCGCTGCGGGGCTCTCCCTACGAGCGGAGCCGGAGGAGAGAGGGGACTATTTCCCGCCGGCGGCGCAGGGATCCTGGCGGGGCGGAGTGCTGCGGCCGCCGGTGGTGCCGGGGCCGGGAAGGGGCCGCGCGGGGACAGGGGCGGGAGGGGGGCCAGGGCGGCGGAGCGGGGCCGTGGCCGTGGCCGTGGCCGTGGCCGCGGAGCGGGGCCGTGGCTGTGGCCGGTCACCTCGGGGGCGGAGCGGGGCCGGAGGGAGGCTGGAGCGGGGCCGGAGGGAGGCTGGAGCGGGGCTGGAGGGTGAAGACCGGTGCTGTCACATCGATGAAGTCGGACGATGTGTGAACCCGTGCTCGTTTTTCTTTCTATTTTTTTTTTCTAATAATTATTTCTAATATTTGTGTATTTACCTTCTGATATTTATTTACCTGTTTAATGCAGTTCTTGTGTGTTACCAAGTGCTCCTGTGTCACCTCCCAGTTTATATCATAATATTCGCGTTTTATCAGGTGAATAAAAGGCTGAGAGGAGCATCAGGCCGAGGCTGAGTTACAACGTGGCAGCAGTGTTGCTACTAAATCTGGAGATGGATTAGAGTTGTTTGTTTCTCTGCAAATGCATTTAATGTTGTTGTGGCTATATTTCAAGTATGTGTTAAAGGTATTTTTAATGGTGCAGTGATAACTTGTCAGTCTGATTTCCTGATGTAGGGGGAGAAAAGTATAAACTTGAAGCTACCATTGCTATATCTTGTAGCTAAGTCTCATGTTCCAACTAAGACTGTCTGACACGATCCATTACCCTTTGTCACATCCCAGCAGTTCTTCCCAAACTTTGCCCTGTCGGCTGTCTGCCCCAAGTTGGTTGGCTGATTGATTGAAGAATGCTAGCTGGAATGGTACAGCTGCTTTCTTACAGTGACATTAAAGGGAGATGACTACTTGTGTCCCTACTTGTGACTACAAAGCGTTCATAGTGTTTTATAGTAAGTTTGTAACATGACATAGTTAGCCATGTTTGAAGGGTGCTATTGCTCGATCCTTGTCTTGAAATCAGCCTGTTATGGTCAAATTATATACTTTTGAAAAATCTTTGATTTATGTGCACTTCCTAGAATAATGTTGTCCAGACTCTTCCTGCCTTGGGAATATTGTGGTCTTTGAAGAACCGTTTTTGTGACAACTTTTGGCAGATGACTATCAAAAATAGGAGAAAACAAGCTGCGACTCTTTTATGAGTGCTGGTCTCTCCAAGAGTTGGAAAGAAAGATCAGTAAGGAGAAGGTCAGAGCAAAGGTGGTTGACTGCCTGCAAGTACCTCAACAACTGAGCATTTGAATTCTCACAGTTTAATGTACACCAAAGAATTCACATAAGAAAACATGCACAAATGCCAGAGCCACAGGAAAATCTTAAACCTGTATTTGTACTTTTTGGACACAAAATCAATAAGAAAACTTGGAAGGAAGGTGGTATTTGTTGTTTTAGTTCTCCTAAAGCTGGCTATTTGAGGCTTTTTAGCTTTGTTTTGTACAGGTGTGAAGTTTGGGCATGTGTGCAGGATTGTGACTGCACCTGTCAGTTCTTAACTGCTGATATAGCCACTGAAAATTTTAGTAAGCTGTTACAGCTTTCAGTAATGCTGAGTTGTTACAGGTGTCATGAAGGTAACCACTTGAAAGGAAGAAAGATTCCTTATCAGCATGGCTGAGAGAAGAATTGTCTATGCGCTTAGATATTAGCAGTTGTAGGTAGTGATTTTTTTCCCTAATGCTGTCTGAAAGTTGGCTTGCTTTGGACTATTCCTCCTCTTGTATTCTTGTGTTATCCTTCTCTTCTGTTTTTATTTTATTAATTTTTTACCCCCCTCTCCTTAACTCCCATGTCACATTCAGTATGTGGGTGCTCCTGGATTAGATGTGACATGGTAAGGTTGTTTGAGATTGGTCCAGCATTTGTTCTAGAAACTATGTGTAAGGAATTAGCTTAGACTAATATCAGCATATAGAATCATAAAATCATAGCATGCTTTGAGTTGATTTGGACCTTAAAGATCATCTAGTTCCAACTGCCCTGCCAAGGGCAGGGATGCTGCTCACTAAATCAGGTTGCTCAGAGCCCCATCCAACCTGGCTTTGAACACTTCCAGGGGTGGGATGTCCACAGTCTCTCCTTATTGTATGCTGTGTCCTTCCTTCTGTTGTATCCTTCCTTCTGTGTATCCTTATTCCTAATTTTTGTTTCTAAACATAAGCTGTGGAGCGCAGCAATGTAACCAATGCATTCAGAAGGTGCAACTTGGGCCAGTCTAACGATTATTTTTTTGAGCCTATCAGGTTTTCGTTCTTGGAGATTATGCCTTTCTTCTTAAAAAAGCCTTTTTTCCAAGTCATAGTTTCAGGGGAAAAGGTCGTGTTTGGGCAGGAGGGGAGGGATTCCTGGAGTGCAAAGTGGATTGCAACAGAAAGGAAGGGAATTAAGGAGTGGAGAATTTGTAAACAAGGAAGGCAAAGCAGTTGCTTCTTCCCTTTTAATGAAATTGCTAAAAGGCTTTAGTAGAAAGAGAAGCTCAAAAAGGAAACAGCTTTCACTATCCAGGAATTAACTCAGCTTAAAACCCACATGGCTTCTGAGGTTGCTCCACACCGGTTTTGACTCTTGCAACCATCTTTGTTAGTGCAGGTTCTTGGAATTCATTGCTTAAAATCAGGCTCTTGAACTGTGGACTTCTGTAACTCATTATTATTACCTTACAGTCAGGGATAGTGACAGTATTAACTGTTGAGTGGTGAGCCATGAGAAAGTAAAGACAGTTTATTCAGAAGAAAATAACTTCTTAAAATTGTGTTGGTTTACATGCCTATATTACTATAGAATTGTTTAGATTGGAAAAGACCTCTAAAATCATGGAGTCCAACCATTAACCCAGGACTGCCACCATCACCAAAACATGTCTTTAAGTGCCACATCTACACATCTTTTGAATACCTCCAGGAATGGTGACTCAACCTCTTCCCTGGGCAGCCTGCTCCAATGCTTCACAACTCTTTCTGTGAATAAAGTTTTCCAAACATCCAATCTAAGCCTCTGCTGGTGCGATTTGAGGCTCTCATCCTATAACTTGTTACTTGAGACGTGAGACCACCCCCACTTTGTTACAACTTCGGCTGCTCCTTATAAGACTTCTGCTCCAGACCCTTCACCAGCTCTGTTGCTCTCTGGATGCCCTCCAGCACCTCAGTGTCTTTCTTGTATGTTATGCCCATCTCACCTATGAAATTTCTAGCTCAAGAAATTCTAGCTCATGTAAAGTATTGCTGATCACATGTTTGGCCTCTTTATCTTACGGTGACAGTTTCATGCTTTCAGTATTTTTGGAAAGAGCATTTTGACAGTTGCTTGTATTGGCAATGTTACTTTACACCATTTAAGGTCAGTGTTCTTTTAGATATTTTCAGAAACAGGTCAGACAGATTTGTGATGCTTTTCCAGAAAAATTATGAATATATAATGTGTATTGTGTGGAATACAGAGAAAATGGGATGACCTCTGGCAATATCCAGCTTGGAAACTTGTGCTTTAATGGGAAGGTTTCTAATTTCCTTTGGTATGAATGTTCCATAAAGAAAAGTAAGCTCTTTGTCTTCATAAACACATTAAGAAAAGCTTGCCTGGAATCAAGGTAATTTCAGATAAATTACACCTCTTGGAGTCTGTTCGCTCCTCTGCTGGAAAATATATAGGTGTCATCTGTCAAGTACTGTGTTTCTTTTATATTAAACACAACTAAGCCTGCTGGGTGGTAAGTGGGAGGCTTAGAGTGGACAGGGTGAGATTTATTATTTCTTTTAGACTGTTGGTTTTTGCTGTGTTTAATTCAACATTCTCAAATTTTCCAAAGACTTCTCATTTTAGTGGAACCAGTGGAAGATGGTGGAAGTTGCGGGTTTTCTACAGTTCTAGAAAATCAGGCCTTCAGTCTCAAGCTGGCACTTATTAGTATTTCTGAATTATAGTTTTAATGTTTTATTAAGGCAGAAATTGGTAAAAATTTGTTCTATAACTGACCAGTAAAATGCAAAAATAAAGCATTCACTAACTGCCTTGCTGCTGTTAATATCCCCCACTTGAGAGCTGAGATTTTTTTTTTTCTTTGTTTCCTTTATTTTTCTAGGGCTGCCTTTCAGTTACAGGTTCTGAGAGTTATCTGCTTTCCAGATCTGAATGGAATTTCTTCTGCATCAGGACAGTCAGTAACTTATTCTTGGGAGATGCAGAAAGTCACGCTCTAGATTCTTTTAGAAGTCTTAAGGACTTCAGCAGCTGTAGACCCTTTTTCCTATTTAAATACCCGCCGCCAGCTGATCAAACCATGCTCTTCTGAAACCTTTGCCAAAATTTGATTTGTACAGTGTTGGTGGTAGGTATGTTGAATGGAATTGGGAATGTAAGGACTTGGCACTGTGTTAAAAATAGTATTTTGAAATAAATTATTTGCTGAACTGTAGGAAGGCTTATTCAGGAACGAGCATAATGGGTTGGTGCTAACATCCATCTTGTCCAGTACTTTGATCCTGACAGTTACGAATAGCAAAGGCTGCAGAGGAACTAATTTTGGGGCCAGTGCCATAATCTCCATTCTATGTTGGCAAGAAGCCTATTCTTGGTCTTGTAAAGATTTGCTGAAGCTCTGAAGCATAAAGCTTGCTATCTTTTGAAGAAAAAAACCACAGGTTTTGATTCCTCTGGTTGTGTTATGAAAATGTCTCTTCCACCTTCACATATTTGTAGACTCTTGTCTCAGTGACTTTCTGTAGCAGTGAGTTCTACTGATGCTATATGATGATTTTTTTTTTTTCCTTTAAAAGAAAGGTTTTTTCTCTTTTTCTTGACAGGAGGGACAGCCCTTTCAGTATCATTATTTCATTTCTCTGCAGTTAATCTAAATATCTGGTAAGCTGTACTGTTTGGAAAAATTAAAGAGGGTTCTGTGTCCGTTTGATTATCATGACATTCTGTGGGAAAAGCCTGAGTTTAGCTGGCTTAATCTTATGTAGGCAACTCGGGACAATAGGTCATTGCAGAAATTTGTTTTACAGACACTATTTAACCACTTCTATTTTTACATACCCTCTTCAAAGTAAATGTTTGTAATAGCTGGCAGTATGCCTTTGAATCAGAACATTGACATTCAGTATTGCCAGTGAATGTTCACAGACTATGTATGAATAGCCTGTGTATATGGCTGAAATGGTAGCATCTTTTTACAAGTAATTTGTGTTTAGAGACAGTTGTTTCCCACAGAAAGAAAAAAAGGCATTATAATTGTTTTGGTAAGCTAGTGTGTTTTTAATTTGTCCTGTCTTACTTTTGCATACAGTTCTCTAAACTACTTTTCATAGGACTGTTCAGCAGAAAGCAGGTATCACCTAACTGATTCTTACAGCTGTTGGACTTCTATAAGAAATGTTATTTTGTTTCTCCTGCATGTGGGTTTGTTTGTTGTGGGGTTTTGTTCATTTTTTAATGCAAAGCAAAGCAAGTACTTTGATTCCATGCACTTGGTGAAATGTGTGCTAAACTTGTGCTTTATTCTTTCTTGTCAGGTTGTTCCTTGCTGTTGCACTTGAAGAGGTGACCATTTTCTGTGAGTTAATGATGTTTATTCTCTCTCCTACGTGTTTTTCCTCCTTCTCCTTCTGTGAAATAACATTACAAAAGGAAAACATACTGTGCTAGATTTTCTCCTTAGAGTTAATAAACACTCACTTCATTGAGAAATATGTTCTTTAAAACATACAAGAATAAAGTAAAAAAAAGACACTCTCGTATGTTACTATGTTGTGTGCCTAATCCTGAAAAAGAGATAACCTTGCCCCAGACAGCTTACAGTTTGCTGGGGATCCAGCCAGTGTGTGTAATCAACACTCAGAAAACCAAGGGAGAATAAAAGAAACATCAGTAATATGTTAATATGAACAAACTATGTAAAATTACTGTAACCCTGTACTGCCCACCCACAGTGGCATTGCAGGAGTAATCTTGAGGGATGTGAAAGAACCAAAGAAAATAGTGTTAAGAACTTCACTTGAGGAAGATGATGTATCTCTGCATGTGGAAAAAAAGTGTAAAGAGTGTTGTAGTAACCAGTAGTGGCAGCTTGTTTTGCTGTATGATTTGGGCCTTAGGCTGTCAGGACATTTTATGTTGCAGCATACTGGCACCTCCTGCTAAGTTTTGGTCTCCATAGCTTCTCTTACCTGGCTTCGTGTGGTTTAAGGGTGGGGAGAAGGAGTATAAAGTAGAAAACAACTCTTAACTGTGTATGACCATAAGAAAGTCCCTGAGGTATTACAAGAGTTTGTATTTGTTTTCCACTTTGTTGTTTCTGTAGAAAAGCATATACTGTTTCTTAGAAGTCCCTGTGTTATTGAGTTGTGCTGGATTTTGGAGGTCAGTGTGGCTGGACTGTGTAGATACCACAACATTCAAGTATCATATCTTTTCCTGCTGTAACTATTGTTTGGCTGATGTGATGATCCACAGTCCAGCTATGTAGTTTAGGAAGGATCAGCAAGAGGTTGCATTTTGACAATATCTGTCAGATGGAATTGCAAACAATAAAAATACAATCATTAGTTAATTTTTTTCTGATATATATAAGATTTATTTTTCCACCTGGAAATTGTTATTATAATACAATTTTACTGTATTTTTCCGCAAGTACAAATGATCCTCTTAAGTGAATTCTGTTAAAAAAACCCAGCAACTCAACAACAAATGAATCAGTATGGATGCATCTGGCTCTTTGGGTTGTATTATATAATGTTCCCAGCGATTATATTCTCTCTTCTCCTGTCTGAGGCAGATAAAACTACATAAATATAAAACTGAAATCTACAGTATTTTGCATTTGAAGATATGGATAAATACATAAAGGGTCAGTCTACAGGAGAAAAATTCTCCTTGGCAAGACTGAGCAGTTCACAGAATTTCTGCTGGAGTGTTTGTTAAACAGAGAGGAAAAACAAAAGCTCACACCTATACAACTTTAGGGTGAAAATGCTGGATACCACTAGGACCTTGCTATCATTGGTTTACACAGAGTTTTTAGAAAAATACCCACTCAACTTCATTCTCAGCCATTGTATTAAGTTCTTTACGCTGGATGTAAAGTTTTTACTTGCTTATGTATAGTTCACTATCTTTCATCTAGATTACATTCCTTTTAGTGAGGGTGGCTTTTATCTTCAGTTTAAGGGTCTACCTAATTAAAACTTGAAATGTGTTATAGTTTGAGAGCCTGTTATGAGGTCCGTGTGTGTTAGACTTCTAGTGTTCTGAAAAACCAAATAGATGATCCAGGTTTCAGAGCTGCGCTCTGAGCCCATTGCCAGAGATCCTCTCCCTATGGATACTGCAGAACTGTCAAGGGTGTTTTTGATGTTGCTTCTGCAGATGTTGATGTGTAAATGCTCACTTCCAACAAGTGTGTGTCCCAGCCCATCCACTCATTCCCTAACTTCACCTTCCTTTATGCCGAGTGCTATAGTTTGGTTAGGTAGCTGCAGGTAAGTCTGAATATTATGCTGCATCTTTTTTTAAAGCATGTCCTGATATTTCACTGTACTGTGTGATCCCTTACACAGAAGTTTTCTATTAATTAGCTGGTAGCAATCTTTGCTTCACAATAGTCGATGGAAGCACAAAAAGGAATCGTGTTCTACTCAGATTGTAAAAAAATTAACCAAAATTAGAAAAGGCATAACCCACTCCCCCACAGCAAGTATACAAGTGTTTATGAAAGTCGTAGCCCACGTGATACTAGTCACTAGGTATAGATATGAGTCCAGTGCTGATAAAGGCCATGGAAGAAATACTTTTAAGATATGATCAAATTTAGAAAATTAGTAATTTTTTCTCAGTGCAACTGCAGGAGATAACAAGAGATTAGTTAGAATGATAAAATATGTAATCACTTTATTTAAATTTTAAATTTAAAAAAATGGGAGTAGTAAAATAGTAACAAAGTGTTTGGGTTATTTTTTCATTCTTTCTTTCTTCCTTCATATCCAGATTTGTGTTCCTGCTACTGCTTATCTCTCCCACTGTCAAAGAATGCAACAAAGTTCTGTCTACACAGAAAGCAAAAGCTACAAGTAATCCAGCCTGTTGACAATAAGATCAGTAAGTGGGAAATATGTGATGAGATGTTATGCTCAATAAAACTATGAAATGAAGTCAGAATGGGTTTTTTTGCCTTTTTTTCTTCTCTATTCTAGGGAAGGTTTTTTTGGAGAAAAGGTTTTTGTCTGTTGATAAACCTTCTAAAATGGAAAAAGTAGAAGGAACTGGTATGGTCAGTAAAGTTGCGAGATAAGAGATCAACTTTATAGAATATGTGACTCCAAAGCAGGAATTCTGAGCACATGTAAGGCAAAAGCTACAAAATACAAACCCTGTGCAAGAAACTTATTCACTGTGTTGAGGATAGTTTTCTACTGAGTACTTTCTGAGGTGTATTTTGTGGAGAGGCTGCTGTAAAAAAAGCACTTAGCAGTGCGTTTACCACTGTCAGAATCACAGGTAGGATGCTTCTGTCCAGAGAAAAAGCAATGAGGCTTTGAAGACTGTTCTGCTTCTTAAATTTAACTATAGATTTTAGGTTATATGTTATAATTTGGGCACTTGAACTCTCTATTATTTGGGAATTCTTCGTATTATTAAATTCTTGGAAACTGCTCTATAGTAGAATACAAGGTTTGTTCAGAAAGTTAATCAGATGGGATGTTTTAGGGCCAAAATAGGAAAAAAGAAAAAAAGAGAAAGAGGACTTGCTAGCTAGCACGAGTGTATTCCTAACTAGAGTTATTTTTCTGAATCTGGGCCTAAAGCAGCTAATTTTTGGTTTTATTCTTTGGACAGCTTATAATAAAAATGTCTTTACATTAACTATTGTTAAATTAGGGACTGCTAGGCAGCAGTTGAGAAGTTGAGAAGTAAAGATGCAATTAGTAGCTACACAGTAATTCAGCCTGCAGAGCTCCTTGCTAATTAACAAAAACCAGTACCCGTAACTATGGATTTCTACACTTATTGTGGACAGAGCATGCAAATAAAATTATTTATTACAATTACTTAGCAGGGGCCCTGCATTCCATTAGAATTCAAGCAAACTGCACCTGAATTGCTTAGTTATGCCTTGTTTTATATTGACCCAGGCAAAGGAAAAATGAAGCCAACTGAAGCACACAATAAAAATGTTAATAAAAAATCCTACCAGACCTGCAACCAAAAAAACACTATAGTTGTTTTCTATCCTTTGTGTGAGTAATAACACTTCAATGGGTCACTGCCTCTGCTCTGAGACTGGAAGAGATGTGGCCAGGTCAGGACAGGGTTGAGCCCAGAGGACTGAGCAGAGAGTGCTGTAGTGAGGAGAATGGGGATAGTTGCTGTTGTCCTAATCAGCATGTGTGGGGACTTTTTTTGTATTGTATTTTGGTATGTTTTGGTTTTGTTTGTTTGTTTTTGTTAGGTTGGTTTTTGTTTTGGTTTTGTTTTTTTTTTTTGGTCTCTAAATCTGGAAAGTCAGCATGCCAGCTCCTGTTGAAATAAATGGAGATGGACGTGCTGTCCAAACAGGGAAAATTTTTCTATGCCCTTTTGAGGTGTTCTAAGAAGGAACAGTTCTTCCCTGTTAGCCCACACTCCAAATGTTAGATGTACAAATAAAAGACTGGCTGTGTACTCTCTCAGCAGTTTTATTTCAAGATTTTTTTCCCCTTCCTTTCAGAACATTAGATATTTTTTAGTTATTTTTCCATATTTGTTACCCGTAAAAAGTCTGTAGTAAATCCAGTGATTCCAAAACTGGAAAAGTGTCCATATTTATTTTTTGACAAATTTGTTACGGCTGTTCAGTAATACTAACATAATCTCATTTTTTAGGTCTACAGTCTGCTGTGCAACTGCATTTTTTGTTGAGTTAAAAGTTTCCTTTCATTTTAGACCCCAGAAATAACTGTACCTTTAGGAACCTCAGGCTGAACTTTGCCGATGTCTGGAACGTTTTGGTTAAAATGCATTGTAGAAATAAATTAAACTGTTTCATTAAGATGCACAGATGCCTTCCCAAATTCTTTCCTTTTGATAGACACGTCATGTACTTGTTAAACTACTGGCTTGCCTTAGTTTTAAGGACTGACTTTTGTTTCTCATTGCTTTCTCCACAAGGTAACTGTTATTGTTAATCGCAAGCAAATATTCAACTTTGGGGGTAAGAATCTGTGGAATAATGATTGTTTTATTGATTTTAATGCAAAAATGAATAAATAAAGTTATAATTGTTTCTCCATCTTAGTTTGAATTCAGAATTTCTTTTTTTTTGTTTACTGTCTATGTGCCATAGTAACTTGTGCATTATCTTCTGTAGCTTGTTATTCTATCAATTTATGTATTTTATTTTGACAGTTTGGCAAAAAACACGTGGTAGGATAAAAATTGAACTCGATGTAAAGATTGAATGTTCTTTTTATTTTGAGAGTTGGTGGTAGTTATAACTCGTTATAATTCTGGGGTTTGACAGTTTATTTTTTACAAAGAACAAAAGGTAGCATGCAAAATAGAGTAGAAATTAAAAAACCCCCACCCTTGAATAAAACCGGTGCTTTTCAATATAAATTAGCTAAATTCTGAGCGTATGAGATGTCCCTAACTGCTGTATTTCTTTACTGATTTGATGCTGTGACAGTGAAAGGACAAGTCCCAAAGTACAGGCAGAGTCTAACTGCAGAAGTCGTGTGCAACTTTGGAAGAAGTGGGTTTGTTCAGACTTATAGGCAGTGAGAGCTGACAGAGGAGCATTACAGGAACTTTTCATGCCTTTGAGAACTTGCAAAAGGGTCAGTGAATTTTGTGCCTGCAGAGGAAAGCGTTTTTACTGGCTTTAAAGACCCAGTGACTTTGCGGTGTTTTAGGAAATGCTTTCTTATGAGATTTCTTAGGTGGTGGAACAGTTTACCTAGGACTGTATGGCTGACTAAGGGTAAGTTTTTAAAGGAAGTTACTGTAGTATCTCTCAGGAATTAACCTTGTGACAAAGTGAAAGAAGTGAGCTCTGTCCTGTTACAGTGTTTTTATTTCATAGATGCCATGGGGTTTAGTGACATTCCCACAAATTGTTTCCTGGAATTTATGTTTTTATTTATGGTAGAGTTTTCAAGGTGTTTGTATAAACACTTGAAGTTCTGGCATGTTATGAAATTGGTTGGTGTAAATACAGGCTTCTGCCTGTGAGGTGACTCTGCTGCCTTACCTCATTCACCACCAGTGCTGGGTTTCTTTTCAGTCTGGTTTGCAGTTCATTGGGGTGACAAATATGGACAGCCTAGGTGAAGGCATACCTGTCCCTTTTGCAGCAGCAGCTGCTCAGTGTGACCTTGGAACAGTAGCTTAAGGCTCTGAAAACAAGGATAGTCAGTTATAGGGCTGATTGATACTACAAGTCCTGACCTAGGTCCTTTTTGAGGAAAAGACAATGGGCCTGAGAGAGGAGCATAATGCAAGACAGCAATACAGCAAGCACTGACCTTTTATATTAGCATTAGATGGAAGTGCTAGGTATTGAGTTCTGTCCAATAGGCTTTAGCCAAGAACCAAATGAAGCTATTCCAGTTTTCAACTTTTCAAAAAAAAAGAGTGATAGGTGGAGAGAGATAACCATCTAATAATGAAGTCAGACAGCATATGTGTGCTTGTTCAAGTGGGGCTTTGAATCATTTGCAGAATTTATCAGCAATGGCAAGAAAATTAGTATAGAATTCAAAATAATCACAGAAAAACATTATCACAGGGTCCCTCTACACTAGAGGTGAAAAATTCATACTACCAGCAGGAATCATATTTTGCAGGGGGGAGAAAATCTAAGGGAGGTAGAAGATAAAGGAAAAACCTTCCATTTGAGTATGGGGTCTGGCTGACATGGAGTTTGTTTCCCCATAGAGGCCCTGAGTGCTGTGCTTTGCATTGGCAGCTGTAAAGGTGCCCATAACACAAGATTATTTTGGCTACTGCTGAGCATTTTGTCCCTCCAACATCTTCCCCTCACCAGCAGGGTATGTTTGGGGGGTGGGCAAAATCTTAGGAGGGGGTATAACCAGCACAGCTGATCCAAACTGACCAAAGGGATATTCCATACCATATGGTGTCTGCTCAGATATAAAAGCTAAGAAGAAGGATAGGGGGGAGCATTTGTTATTTACAGTGTTCACCTTCCAAAGCAACCACTATGTGTGCTGAAGCCCTGCTTCCTGGGAAATGGCAAGACAACACTCGCTGATGGGAAGTGGAGAATAAAATCTTTTTCCTTTGCTTGTGTGCACATGTTTTGCTTTTGCTTTAGTAAACTACCTTGTCTTGACCTATGAGGGTTTTTTCCCATCTTATTTTCCTTCCCCTTCTTCCTAGTGATGGGAGTGATGGAGTGGCTTGGTGGGCACTTGGCATCCAGCCAGGCAAGACCAACCCACCACAGTTTGCTATAGTATTTTGGTAATTTGCAGTGTTACAGGCTAGATGTAAACCCCAACCTAGATAAAATAGTACCTTTGACATGGAACATAGGATTAAGCATGATGATCTCAAAAATTAGGTAATTAGAGGCTGGAACTACACAATGCAACACAAACTGCAGCCAGGCCACCTTCATGGAGTTCCAGAAAAAAGTCTTTAGTTTCTTACTTGGTGTCACCTTGCTCCTGTGACACCTTGGTGTCACCTGTGTACTTGCTGATTCAGTTTAAAATATTTTTTCTTTAAAAGCTTCTAAGTTTCTGTAATGTATGTCAACTGCCAGGTGTCTCCAAGTCATAGATATTCCTGCAGAGCCCAGCAGAAACTGAGATATAGCATGCACTTATTCCTCTGGTGCAGTGG